TCCATTTCGATCAAAGCATCATTTTGCCCCTTTTAGGTACTTATTGCACTCACAGTTGGTGTTAAACTCTTTGCTTCTACCCCAACTCCAGCACCCAACCACTAGTTTTAAATTTTTCATAGAGGGTTCTTTTGCAATGGTAAGGGCCGCAGGACATATGATAAAAAGCTCTTTTGCTTTCGCCGCTACCTCCGGTGACTCCAGAACCACTAGTCTTTTAAGTATTTTGTAGTAGGTGCCTTCGCACGGGCTTGACCCTCATCTCAATAAACACAAAACTCTTGCTTCTGCCATCCACCTCCAGTATTAAATCGCCAGTAACCCCTAGAACCACAAAGTCCTAAAGCTAATCTGCTGAAAATGCTAACTATGTGGAATAAGAATAAAAAAACAAATTTAGTAGACGAATAATATTTTCAATTCCATGTTTAATTAAAAATAGGAATAAAGCAAAGGGACGGTGAGTATTAGGAACCTTTGTATTGGTCTCCATCCTGATCTAAAACTATTTGCTCCTGCTCCCATTTCCAGCACCCAATGACCACTAAACACAAGCACTCTCACCCTACTCCAACTCCAACTTTACAACATTCTACTAGTACTACTTCTCATCTAATTACTTTCCTCTCATGTTTCTTTGTGTACAAAATTTCCACACTAGTAGCAGTAAAATTTTGGTTCGTAAGCTTCTCTTTCCATCTTATCCTAGCACCCGTAAATGTATTCAGTGGGACCAACGTGTATATTATTAAAATATGACTGAAAATAAGTTTAGAAAAGTGAGTTCTTCTGAGCAGATATTGCATTATCCCATCTTAAAAAACGAATAGGTTCACGTTAAACTCCCTAGAGATACAGAAAGTTATTTCATCATTAATCATTTACTGCCCTGTGATTACGATTCTTAATTAGACGCCTGAACTATACCAGATATCAGTGGTTCGATTACAGAATTGAAAAAGGAAAACAGGAAATCTTAGTTTATGCGCTTAACAGCACTCTACACCTAAACAAACTCCTTGTAGTTTCTCAACACCGAGCGTATCAAGATAATTACTTTTGACCTTTTCTGGTCACAGCTTGCTCAGGAACCAAACAGAAAAAATAAAACGTACCTGCCAGAGAACTACAGGATTAGAAGTCCTTCCCGCGCTCTCCTCGGCCTCCAACCCCAATGGTTCCGGAACTTTCGGGGCAACATTCGGGAAAGACACCCTCCCGACACTGGTCTTCCCACTCTCGCCCTCGCCATCGCCTGCTATTGGAGCTTTTGGCTGCTTCTCCTCTTTCAACTTAGCATCCGGGTTTGGAAGTAGGTTAAAGAACGGCAAAGTTTTGAAATCGATCTTGGGAAAGAAGGAAAACAAAGGTTTAGGCGATGTTGTTCTCGCGTCTGCTCCGGTGTCTTCAGCCATTTTTCTTGAGGTGGGAGTGTAGGAGATTTCTGCTGAGTTCTTCTTGTCTTGAACTGTTGGGTTTTTTGAAGGCTAAATTTTGAAATGAAGCTCTGTTGTCCTCTGGTTCGTTCGAGGGTTTTTTTTTTTTAATTATTATTTTTATTTGTTTTAAATAAAATAAAATAATAAATATTATTTATAAGATTGTAATTTCAAATAATTCATTTTAAATTTTTGGTAAATCATTTATTATTTTTTATATTTTTAATTAAAAATATTTGAAATTTGTAATGAATTATGAATATAATATTAATTTATTTATAAAATGATAAAAATAAATCTTCAAAAGACAAAAAATTAATGAAATTAAAATAGTGTATTGTTGGTGGACTAATTATCTTTTAAATATGAGAAAAATAAGTAAAAGAAAATATTTTAATAATATTTTCTATTCATTTTTAAATATTTTAATGTTTTATATTTTTAATAAAATAATATAAGAAAAAAATTATTTACTAATTAATTAAAATTAATGAATTAATTACTGTAGAAATATATGTAATAATTTATTAATTTAATTTAATTTATTTTTTAAATTGTTTTTAAAAATATTAAACATATTTAATTATTTTAATTTTTGCTATTATAAAATGTACTAGAAAACAAGCAAATATTATTAAAAATTAAAACATCATAAGTCCTTCAACGTACATAAATTATTGAATTAAGTTTGTCACATGAACATTTGGTGTTAAATATAAATTGTCTCATGCATTTATATTAGCTTATAATTACTAATAAATAAAAGGGTATAACCAATAATTATGTGCATATATATATATAAATAAAATAAAAATTATTATATTAATTATAATATTTAATAAATTGTACTATGTTCGTAAAGCATTATAATAATGCTTCAATAGATTATAAATAATTTATATATATTATATATATTTAATCTCAAACTTTTAATTTGGATTTTCTCACTTGACGACAAAAGACGAAGATATTTTAATAAGGTCATATTAAGAAAATTAACAAATTAATTAAGAGAAACAGAGAGTCAAAGATCATTGACTTTCACCTCGCTTTCTCTCTCTCTGTAATCCAATAATTTTCAAAGTGCTTGTCACAATTTTGCAGAAGAAGTTTCCTCTTCAGCGCTACCTTCACCATCACGTAATTGGGTTTTTTTTTTTTTAAATTTTTTTTTCTGGTGTTTGGACGTGAGGACAGAAAGGTGGGCAGTTGGTTGCCATTGACCCGTCAAAGGAGTCGCTATTGACTTTTCAACTAAACCCTAGAAGATCGATCCATCGAAATTCCCCTATTTAGCTTCTTTCTCTCCCTCTTTCTCTCGCTCATCTACGTTAATTTTGTAAAAACAAAACTCTGATCCATGGCATCGGCGTCGCAATCGTTATCTGGGATGGTTCCCAATTTGAAGCTCTCTAGGTAAGCTTTTCTAGTTCGGTTTTAAACCTGGAATTTTCATTTCCAGTTTTATGTTGTTGAGCTTGTATTGGGATCAGTTTTTGTTGCTATTGTTCTTCCAATCTTCTGTAGATTGATCTCAAGATATTTTAACCTTTGTTTTTTAACATTAAGGTCTGATTGTGGGGCATGTTTAAGGAGACGTGTAATTTTGGATGTGTGTCTTTGTTTGAAATGACGAGGGATCATAAAATCGTGCTTTGGATAACCAAGGGTTCTACATTGGATTTATGTTTGAATTTGACAGAAGAAGGAAAATCTATTGTTGCTTTGAAGAAATTGTTAATGGATAGCGCCAAGATAAACGAGAAAAGAAAAGTCAATGGTTGCTGGTTAAAGTTCTTTGGGTTGATAAATTCGATTCTACCATGCCTGTGAGGCAAGGTGTTGTGAGAGAGAATTATGAATGGATAAGGTTTTTCTAACAGTTGAAAACACGGAGGCACCATGCCTTGGAGGCATGGTAATAGCACTCATTTGGCCACCTTGCTTTGTCTGTATTGTTATATTATTTTCTGTAATGAGTTAATTTTATAGCATGTAATTATCCTAGGCTAGTGGCACAGAGCTTTCCTAATGTTCTTCTATTTATAGGTCGCATCGCTTGCCATCACATTCATGTGAAGGATTACCTGCTCTCTGTAAACCTTCATACAAAGCAGTTGCAATTTCACATTCTGAATCAACCAGTAAAAGTAGTTTTATGGGCGGTTCACATATTTTTAGCCCTAGTGAGAAAAGAAACCAAATCGGTCAAACACATTGTTCGATGGGAGTATACACGTACGGTGAAAACTTTGTTGAATCATTCCCATTTGCTACTGATGATAAGGTTGGGGTGCTGCTTCTGAATCTTGGAGGTCCGGAGACACTTCATGATGTTCAGCCTTTCTTGTTTAATTTGTTTGCAGATCCGGTGCGTCATCTTATCATGTATTCTTTTTGTTTCCTTACCTTGTTTTCTAATTCTCTGTGTTTATTTGTAGGTTCTGACTCATAGCTAGGCACTAATGAATAGGTTTTTAATGGCGTAAATTGTTTTTGTGATACAGGATATTATACGTCTCCCAAGGTTGTTTCGGTTTCTTCAACAACCTTTGGCGAAACTGATATCTGTAATCCGTGCACCCAAAAGTAAAGAAGGGTATGCGGCTATTGGTGGTGGATCACCATTGCGTAAGATAACGGATGAGCAGGTAGAACACTATTTTCTGTTTTCCATTCAATGTTATTGCTTGAATACTTATGATCATTAGCGTGGAATCTGCAAATAATCTCTTTAACTCAAATTCTTGTGGTGTTTCTTCCTGCAAATAGTCTCTTTGCAGCTAGAACGCTACATTCATGTCCGCATGGGGATGCTAACCCTTTCCAAATAAACTGCCACCCTTTCTAGAGGGAACAAAACCCTCACATCAATTTTCTGTGCATCAATTTATTAGTCACTGTTAGAAATACTTTTGCAGGCAACTGCTCTCAAAATGGCTTTGGAAGCAAAGGACGTGCACGTCAATGTATATGTTGGGATGCGCTACTGGCACCCATTTACTGAGGAGGCGATTCAGCAGGTGAATAGGAATACTTTGCTTACCATCATCTCCTTAATGACTGATTATTCTTGCCATGTTTTCATTTGATATAGAATCGCGTTGTCAACCTTCAAACTATATTCTTTGGTTGGACACAAACTTTGAGTCATTGTTATTAAGTTTCTGAGTAAATTAAAAAAAAGTCAGGAAAAACAATGGAGGAAATTTGCTATATAGTTTTATTCTTTTTTCCTTCCTATCAAATAATTAGTAAAACAATTTCTTCAGCCTTTTCATTGTCAAAGTCATGATTATATATTCTTTCTTACATGCAACAGATTAAGAGAGACCAGATAACAAGGCTCGTTGTGCTGCCACTTTATCCTCAATATTCAATCTCGACAACTGGGTCCAGCATTCGTGTTCTTGAGAGTATGTTCAGGTGGGTGTCTTTGGGGACAGTTCCTATTTGTTCTGCATATTGGAAAACTTATTCTCTAAAAATCATTCATAATACCCTACAGGCAGGATGCATATCTATCAAGACTGCCTGTTTCAATTATACAGTCCTGGTATCAACGAGAAGGTTACATCAAGTCTATGTCTAACCTGATTGAAAAAGAGCTTGAGAAATTCTCCAAGCCAGAGGAGGTGGGTTTGATTTCTAAATTGGCCTTTGTTACCTTCTTTAATATTGATAAGAGCTACTCTACATCTGTTCCTTTCTTTTATCGGTATTGTAGGTCATGATATTCTTTAGCGCCCATGGAGTACCAGTAAGCTATGTTGAGGATGCTGGAGATCCATACAAGGATCAGATGGAGGAGTGCATATACTTAATCATGCAGGAGCTTAAGGCTAGAGGCATAGAAAATGATCATACTCTGGCTTACCAGGTTGGCTATAGAGCCCTAGTTTCCATTTTTCATCCTCAATTCAGCAAACCCTGGCTTTTATTAACTTACCTTTTCTCATGTGTTCATTGCTCCTCTTTTGATCAGAGTCGAGTTGGGCCTGTAGAATGGCTGAAACCATACACTGATAAAGTTCTTGTTCAACTTGGCCAGAAAGGTGTGAAGAGTCTCCTAGCTGTTCCAATAAGGTACATCATTAATAATTGTAATGCCATCTGCTATATGATGCTGGTTTCTATTTTTTATTGGTTGGGATGTCTAATAAGATCAATATTGATCTTAAGTTTATAAATCCTCTATACCTCTTTCTCCCAATTTGTTGAGGATATTTTATGATTGTCCTATTTCAATGCCTTCTGAATTATTTTCTCGAAGTTAAAGTTATGGCCAAATGTTTGCATATCTTTAATTTTGCATAGATATTTTGGTATGGACCTTACATTGATATAATTGTTTAATTACACACACGTGAACGATCTGAAATGTTCTAATATGAAATGCTAGAATTAGTTGGCCAAGTTAAATTGATGCACCAAAGTTTGAGTCGTGGTGTGGTTTTCGAACATGAATATGAGAATCTGGTTGAAGGCATTGCCAATGTTCCTCAAAACTGTGAATCCAGGGTTCTGACCATGCAGCAGCAAAAGGTGCTGCTTTTGCATCCATAAATTAAAACTCAATTTAAATGTAATGATATCTGGAAGTTGGAAAAGGATTTGGTATATTTTTCACTAGATTCGGTATTTTAACATCCAGGATAAGCGGGATAGAACATGTGCATTTTCTAGGTCTACGTGAATCGTACTCTGATAGTTGACATATAATTTGTAATTTATGTTGCATGATTTCTTGTACATAAGCTTTGTTTTTATTATTATATTGCTCGTGATGATAAGCTTGTACATTCTTGAAAAAGTATTTGCTCATGTTGAGTGATTTATAATCTTTGATTTCAGCTTTGTGAGCGAGCACATAGAGACTCTTGAAGAGATTGATATGGAGTACAAGGAGTTGGCTCTTGAATCCGGGATTGAGAATTGGGGTCGTGTTCCGGCTCTAGGTTGTACCTCTTCCTTCATCACCGACCTGGCAGATGCAGTATTAGAAGCAATGCCTTCAGCGAAAGCTATGTCAAGCCCAACCATCATCCATGATAAATCTGATGATGACCCTTTCAGATACCTTACCAAAATGTTCTTTGGTTCAATCTTGGCGTTTGCCTTGCTTTTGTCACCGAAGATGATACTAGCCTTCCGGAACCATCTCTTCTGAAGCCCGTCTCGGTATTTTCCTTTACGGCAGGGCCTCCTTTCCTCTTAAAGAGACTATTAAAACTAAAGGGGACCTGGTAGAAATTCGGTCAGACAGAGGTGATGCAGATGAAGAATGAAGGATTCGGAAAATGGGTTTCGGAGTTCTTTTTTTCAGCTTTCAAGTGTATACAGAATTGAGGTGTAGGAGCAGGGAACACTAAAATTGTGAGAAAATAATCATAGCGTATCGATACATATAGAATACATCTGATGCTAATAAAAAGGTTTCAGAGGCCTAACGTTGCGGCCATTTTCTTCTTATGGGTATTGTTTTACTTAGTTACTTAAATTAATAATATATTAATGTAAATCTTTTAAAAAAAAATTTAAAATAGATTGAATATTTTAGAAAATAAATTAAAAAAATAAATTAATAATACTTAATTAACGTTTATTTTTCTTTTAATCAAAATAGATAAGATATGATTGGATGATTTAGAAAATAAATTAAAAGACTGATCTTAATTAATTACTCTAATTAATAAATTAATAATATTTATTTACATAATCAACTTAAAATTAAAAAAATAAATAAAATGAAAATATAAACAGCGTGATCCTCGCTTCCCATGCAACACATTTCATTTTCCATGGGCTTTAACTTTTTGTCTTGGGATAAAACAATTGGACCCCATCCAACGGTCACTTTTTAATCACGAAAACCATGGGCCCACATCTACCCCCCCCCGGCCAACCCACGTGGTTTTCAACGTTGCTGGTTTTATTAAACAACAAAACTCCCCGGATTTCTCTCCCTTTTATTCTAAATTTAAATTTAATTCTTTTTCGAATAAAATAAAATTTAGATATTTAAATTAAAACCCAGTATAAAAAATTAAACTTCCTAATTTAATTATAAAAAAATAAATAAATATTATATATATATATATACGTATACGTATATGTATACGGTGGGGACATGTTACGGTGTAAGGGGGAAGTGACGGACGCGTGTATTTCCGACATCACTCCTTATTTTTCTTCTTCAGGATTTTTTCTTTGTTTTGTTTTTCTTTGGAGGAGTATTTATTAGTATGTACCAAATTCGCTTGTCTTACAATTCAATGGGCATCGACTTCACGGCCAAGTAGTTGTATAAAAGAACCAACTATACCATATGCTTGTTGGAGGAAAAGAAAACAGTTCATAATCTCTCTTGCTTTTCCTGATTTTTCTGTTGTCTGTAGTAAAATCCATCTGGGTTTCTCCTAGTTTTGGTTTTTTCGTTCTTTTTTGTTGCTGTGATCCAAAATGCCGACCAATAACTTGCTGCTTGAAGAACCCATAAGGATGGTTTCAATACTTGAGCCTTCAAAGCCTGTAAGTCACTTGTGCTGATCTTGTCCTTCGATGTTGGACTGTGGTTTGAATTGTTTTGGTATAATCGGTGTCAGTTAGTGGAAAGATTTTCTTGGTTTTGGGTTTTCTTGCTGCTGCTGAGAAGACTGTTGATGGAGTTGGAGTTGGTGTTTTGTCTGATCTAGGTGTTTGGTTGTTGAGAAAATGTAGTGAATGGGAAGAAAATTGAAGTGACGAACTAGAGAAAAAAGTTTTCAGTTTACTTGGTTTACTACGAGTAGCTGATTAAGTGTTGTTCTTAAGAGGGGTGAAGGTTGGCGGAAATGATTAAGTGTACATTCTTTTTGTATTTCTCTCTCTTTTTATCAGCAATCAAACAAGGTGTTAGGATTTGAATTTCTTTTTCTTTTTGGGTGGGGAGGGAGGGGAATGGTCGATAATTTGACTGGATGATAAGAAAGTGAAAGGCTAAGATTTGATTCTTGCGTTTTGGGCCTAATGCTACAACTAGAACATGTTTTAGGTACATTAATTTTTTTGCATGCTCGTTTTCTTAATTTTTAAAATTAAAAACATATTAACAATGTAAGATCCTACATTTGACAGGTAAGATGCCTAAGAAGGGTGTAGATGCTTCTCTCTTGTTTTTGATATGGATGTTATGGTCCATTTCTGATTCTAATGTGAATGCATTATGCAGACTTTCTTTCCAGCAATGGCAAAGATTGTTGGGACTCTTGGTCCGAAATCACGAAGTGTTGATATAATTTCTGGCTGCTTGAAGGCTGGAATGTCAGGTATTCTTTATCTGTTTCAATTTTTAGTGTAATTTATAATTTCTGGCTGCTTGAAGGCTGGAATGTCAGTTCTTCTTTACCTGTTTCAATTTTTAGTGTAATTTGAACGGAAGCTATGGAAGTTTATATTCTGTTATTTTCACCTGATTTTTTTTTTTTTTTTGAGATAATACTTTCACTTGATTGGCTGCTTGGTTGAATAAAAAATGGGTTATATAATGTTCTTTTCTTTTCTTTTTTTCTTGTTGGGTACCTTGAATTTGGAGCAATTGTTTAGCCTTTGAGGCTATGTTGACTGGAGTTTTTGTTTTATCAGGGATTTAAATGGTAGATGAATTTCTGGATTCTTTTGCGTTCCTTCACTCTCATAGGAACCAGAGACAGAAATTTGAAAATTGAAAATTTTTGAAGGCCTTCCTTCTTGTGATCTTTGAGGATGTATTTTTGAGTTGATTTTTACTTTTTGCAGTGGCAAGGTTTGATTTTTCTTGGGGTGATACTGAATATCACCAAGAGACATTGGACAATTTGAAGACAGCTGTCAAGAATACCAAGAAGCTTTGTGCTGTAAGTGTATTCACATTTGCAGCATTTGTAACTGTTTGCAACTCTCTGGCATGGTTTACAGATATAATTCAATTAGAAGGTTAAAAAAGAAGCTTATATTTTCTTTCTTTCTTTCCTTTATATATTTCTTCACAGGTTATGCTGGACACAGTGGGTCCAGAGTTGCAGGTGGTTAACAAAACTGATCGCCCAATTTCCCTTGAAGCAGATACTTTGGTTGTCCTAACACCAGATCAAGAAAAGGAAGCCTCCTCTAATCTGCTACCCATTAATTTTAGTGGTCTGTCAAAGGTAATTTATCTTCATGATGTCTATTCAATTTGCTTAGTTGAGAGTAGTTCTTGAAGATACGGTTCTTGAGGAAAGCAACGATGAAGCAGTATGGAACCTTTGTCCCAAGGGACTTTTCTCGGTCAAGTCATATTATCAATTTTTGACTAGCAGAGAGGAAGAGTCAGAGAGATTTCCTCGGAGATAGGTGTAGAAGGTGAAAGCAACTCCTATGGTGGCTTTTTTTTTTTGCTTGTGAAGCAATTCAAGAACGTATTCTTACTCTTGGTGAGTCGATCAAGAGAGGCAAAATTTTGGTGAATGGGTATTACTTGTGCAAGAATTGGGCAAAGACATGCAATCATTTCCTTCTTTAGTTCATAGCTTTTTGGGTCTGATTGAGTCATTGCAGGCACAGAGAGAGAGGTTCTTTGGCTGTGGAGAGGCATCCGAAGAGATAAGCAAACAATTAGACTTATCCATTTGGCTACCTTTTGGGTCATTTCGAAATAGAGGAATATAGAAGGCCTTTTGAGAGGATAGAAGGCAACGTTAATAGTATTAAAGATTCTTGGTTTCAGGGCCTAATTATTTTGATTGAGGGTCAACCTTTATATTTAAATGAGGATTTGGGAGACCTTGTTAAACTTGTAAATCTTTGTATGTGAATAGTAACACGTTTTCTATAAAAAAAAAGTCCCTACGTTTGGCCAACTTTTCTGGACATCTCTTTCCTCTATTAGCTGCCACTTTTCCCTTTTCCGTGGTCCCACGACTGTAGACAATCCCTATGAACCTCTTCTGGTTGTCAACAGCAGTGGCCATGGCAGACTTTCTGAACTCTGTAAACTTATCTTTCGTGAGCTTGCAAATGTTTGGCATAAAAATGGTTATTTGTTACAATTCTCTTCCTGATATTGACACTTCATTACTCATGAAATCTTTATGCTATTGGCATAACATTGGAATGCTGGATTTAAATTGGTTTCTTCTTCAACATCTAATTGGAATGGATCCTCTTTGATGCTAGCTGTACTTATAATTTATATTCATTTTCTATTAATCATACAGAAGTTAGTTGATTCAGAGGGGACGATTTATTGTTGAAATCTAAGATTTGGTTAACTTGATATAACTGCTGTGTAATTAGTGGCAAGTTGTTTAAAGCTCCTGTTGTAGCTTAGTTTTCCTACACACAGAAAAACATGAGTATTTAATTTGGAAATTTTAAACAGAAAATGATTTTGGGTAAACTCATTTGCTTATGATTTCTTTTTTTGCTAAGAATTTTCTTTTACTCATTTTTTGTATCCTGTGTCAAACCCACGCCCTTCCCAAGTTATTTTATGGAAGTAATGTAAGGATAACAGCACTTTGTCATGCTGTTGGACAATTTTTTTCTAGCTAATTGTTTGCTTCACCGAAGTTTAGTTTGGTTTTGCAGGCTGTGAAGAAGGGGGACACTATTTTTATTGGGCAATATCTGTTTACAGGAAGTGAAACTACTTCTGTGTGGTTAGAGGTAAGGAACAACTAAGGAAATAAGTTCATTAACTAGGTCAGTATTGGTACAGTTAGTCCCTTACTTGAAGTAATATATGCTTGTAAGTTGCCTCCTTTTGTGGTCATAAAGATCTGGCAAGACAAAGTTGACTTGCTATTTGACTGCCTCTTTCAAGTAGGTTTGATTAATAGAAGCAAGTCAGGTAATGATGGCATGGAAAATGAAGGCTGCTTGTTTTGAATTTGGATATGCTTCAGCACAATTTCAACTGTGTTTCTTTAATGCAGGTGACAGAGGTGACTGGTGAGGATGTGGTTTGCCTGATAAAAAATTCTGCTACCTTGTCTGGGCAATTGTATACTTTGCATGTCTCTCAAATCCATATCGATCTGCCAACTCTGACTGAGAAGGATAAGGAGGCAAGTTTCCCTTTTTCTTTTTTCTTTTAATGCAAACATGATGAGAATATTGTGGTTTGGTAGGTTTTTCTCTATTTTGCCTGTTATTTTAATTTAATAATCTCTGAGCCTTGCTTACTTGAGATAGACAACTCATGTTTAAATTTCCACTGCTTATTTTAGATACCACATGAGTAAGTGCATTTTTTGTATTCCTTTCTTGGAGCTTTTCTTGGTTGCTGAGCAAGTAAACAAATATCAGGTCATTAGCACGTGGGGTGTCAACAATAATATTGACTTCCTCTCGTTGTCATACACTCGACATGCTGAAGATATTCGTCATGTAAGCATATTCCTTCTTGAAACTCATAGAATATATACTTTTTTAATCTCAATTAGATTGTTTAATGGTTTATGTGTTTGCTTGTAAACTGTTGTCTTTAGTTGAAGGTTTGCTAATGAGTACGTTCTATTTACTTTCCTTCTTATATTTAATATTGGCTATATGCAGGCCCGCAATTTTCTTTCTAAATTGGGTGATCTTAATCAAACTCAAGTTTTTGCAAAGATCGAAAATGTAGAGGTGAGATAATTGATCTGACTATCTTTCATTTTTTAAAGTTTTACTTTCCTATACTTATGATTTTGAGATGCATTTCTTTCGCATGTGTTTTTTGCAGGGGTTAAATCATTTTGATGAGATTTTACGTGAAGCTGATGGAATTATACTTTCTCGTGGAAATCTGGGGATAGATCTCCCACCAGAGAAGGTTTGCTCTTTTTTTTGCTAAATTGGACATGTGCATAACATTATAGTACTCAGGCTGATTGCATTCGGTGATCATGCTCTTCTACAGTGTATGTGATTGGAAAGTAGTCAAAAACATAGTACTCCTATAGAGGCTGCGCACCTCGGTGTCTTGCGAGCGATGCCATTCTTGTTCTTTTCTAAAATCAGATAGAAAAAAAACGTCAGAATGCTAGACAAGTCATTGAGGGATGTAGACTATAGAGTAAGAGTGCCTAAGAGCATTAGTTATTCATAGGTTTGATAAACCTCGAAGCCCTGATCACTTATCTTTATCATTTCTGTACTAAATTGTCCCATTTTTCTTGTGCTAATATGCATATACTGCTTCTCTTCTAGTTAGAAAACTCTTTGTATAAGAATACTCCTACATCTGAAGGTTGCTTCATCATGGTGCTGACCTAGCAATTGGAAATAGTGCAATAAAAATGGGTATATTACGTTGTCCCACTCATTTGTGTGTCTTCGTCATGTGTATACCTTTGTCTTTGTGTGGTTGAGTCTGCGTCACACACCTGTGCTCTTTTTTTTCTTTTTGCATTTTCCCTAAGTAATAGACTATTCCTATCAATAATCCATTTTGTTTCTTTTGTTAATCTTCATGTTGGATGTCATTAGGTATTTTTGTTTCAAAAGGCTGCTGTTTACAAGTGCAACATGGCTGGAAAACCTGCAGTGGTTACTCGTGTTGTGGACAGTATGACTGACAACTTGAGACCTACTCGTGCTGAAGCAACTGATGTAGCCAATGCAATATTGGATGGTAATTTTATTCCATGAAGTGGAGTTTTTGGTTGTTTTATGACCCTGCTAGATGATTTTTTTTAATGAACTTCCCTAAGTTTACGTCTTTACAGGGAGTATAACTTTTAATATGAGAGGCTACTTAGTTTCTGTTAAGCCTTATCGAGTAGTCACTGTTGATATCAGTCACCTGCTTGCTATGTATCTGCAATCTTGCTCATCTATGTGTTTGTTGTATTTTGTGATTGTTCAGGAAGTGATGCAATTCTTCTAGGTGCAGAAACCTTACGGGGACTGTACCCTGTAGAAACCATTTCTACTGTTGGGAAGATTTGTGCCGAGGTAAGTTTTGTTGACTTCTGTAATATTCCCTCTCACCTCTTTTTTTTCTATATTTAATCTTTTTTGTTATGTTTATACACCATATCAACTTGAATTTTCAAGTTTTACCTGCTAAATTTATGCCTAAGTTCTTGAACACTAGATTCTTTCATTCTTCATGCAGATGTATTAGGGTTGATATAGTGTTTTGAATATTACATTCTGTGCTTGAGGCTAAATCTACTAACAACTTGTCTATAACTTCTTTGTGCAATAAATTGTTGTAATATAATGGAGAGAATGTTTTCATGGAGTTCTCAATTGACACAAAGTATAATCTACCTTGTAAAATGCATCATTTTTTTTTTGCCATAATGGGGATTCTTTGTACTTTTTGGTCTTGATAGTGGTGGTTCAAAAACTGTAACTCTATTTCGTTTATTAGTCGAAGTTTGAGCCTTTATTAGTGTCTTTTATCAAAAGGAAGTTAATTGATTTTTCATTGGTGCTTTTCTGATGTATTTGAAATTATTCTATTTTCTTGTGAGTTGTGAGCTTGTATTATATTCTTGCGAAGCTCTTCCTTCTCTTCCCTCTGTGAAGAACTATTTCTGTGATCAGGTCTGGAAATTTCATTTCGTGATTCCATTTATATAGCTTTTGATGTAATCGTTGAGGTTTCCTTTTCTTGCCTGTTTGTGCTTTTAACCTGATGAATGTGTTCGAATATAAATCATAATGTTAATTTTTAACACCTCAGTCACCTAATATCTTGTTTTGGTATCATGTGAAACAAGTATGTGTTGAATCTTGGCTGTCTTGTTTTTATTTCAACACAAAACATAGTGAGTGTGCTTTCCCTGTGCTTTTAAACTTATGACCGTATGATGGACATGTTAGCATAAAAGTAAAGTTGGATACTTTTTCTTACAAGATTAAGCTCTTTGGGGTAATTTGTCATTCAGTATAAGCATGCATGACTATGAGTTAAGTTATAAAGGAGTATATATGCATGGGGGAAAGGTTGCTTACGTGGGGTTGTTTTTTGACCAACTCTCCTACTTCTTCATTCTTATTGATTGGCGGGTGTTTGACATTGAGTAATTGTGCTATGTTGTTTTTGTGATTGGGACAAGTCAAAGTTTTTTAACTGGAGACTTGTTCATATGCTTCTCTCCCGCTCTCCTTTATATGGTTCTATAAGATCACTTTGCTATTCAAATAGATTGCTGCTTGCAGGCAGAGAAGGTGTTCAATCATGATTTTTACTTCAAGAAAGCTGTCAAACATGTAGGAGAGCCAATGACTCATTTGGAATCTATTGCTTCGTCAGCGGTATTTTCTTGTGATGCTTTCTGATTTAATCTCTTTTTACTCAAAGAAGTATGCATCTGACTAAGGATTGGTTTGAAATTAATTTTATATATTCCACCTAAGCATGATGCATTTCTTGTGATCCAGGTACGAGCAGCCATCAAGGTGAAGGCTTCAGTGATTATTTGCTTCACTTCGTCTGGAAGAGCTGCAAGGTGTTTGATTTCTTTGTTTGTGGATATTTTTCGTTTGTGTATGTTAGTGTATAAAAGATAAGGGTTCCTGTTCTCTCTCTCTCTATCTATCTGCATATATATATATATATATAATTGGGTTATACGAGATCAAAGTTGGGCCTGGGTTTTCTTCAGTATTTTTAATTAACGTGAAATCATACATAAAAATTATGGAATTTCAGAATCTTTTTGTGTTAGTGCAGGTTGATTGCAAAGTACAGGCCAGCAATGCCTGTGATATCAGTTGTTATCCCACGGCTTAAGACTAATCAACTGCGTTGGACTTTCACTGGAGCTTTCGAGGTATTTTTCTGATTAATTATTTATGGATTCATTGCAGCAGAGACAGTTTGCTGTTTTTCCAGAGTGCTTAAATGAGGATTTGTAACATTTATATGGTGGACACACTAAGAGACTGTTTCTTCTCTTCTTCACTGTTCCTGATAAAACTTTTGACTATTTGATCCATGTCTTTCTGAGTTAGGTGTTTTTCCTTTTGGTCAATTGAACTCCATTGGCACATATGACGCTGGTTTCTGAAAAGAAGCCTGCTGCACAATCAATTCCTCACAAACAGTGATCACATATTTCCCTCTCTTTTCATTATTACGATTTCAGCAGTCTTTTCTTGTGTTAAAAATGCAATTTTTCCCTTGTGTTTATATTTCCTTAGATAGTTTCTGTAATCCTTCTTTCCACGCGTGCTCTTGGTTAAATGGCAGAAACTCTTACATCTTCTGAAGATTGAAACTGACCCCTCCTTACATAATGTTTACTGTCAACATAG